AGTATTCAGCCCACATGCAAATCACGGAACGTCTTTCTTTTTATAAAGAATGTTGTACCATGATTTTCTTCGCACACAGTCTGGATTCAGACGTGTGTGAATATATATATATATATACATATATATATATATACACTCTGCGTAAGTTGGTGGCGTTAAATATGTAACAGTTCGGTCTCGGGCATCATGACAATTGGATCCGTCCCCTCTGAAAGAAATAGGGTTCTACGCCAGTTTCACATCCTCCATTATTTCAGTCTTGGTTATTTCCTTGATTTAGTTTCCAGTTTTGTTTGCAGTGGACCTCTCGTTTGTCCGTTTAGTTAAAAGTTTTGAATTAGATTCACATAATAGTAATTGTGTATCGTTTGTCCGCTTTTCGACTGTGACCTGGGGGCTTGCGTCGCTGACACGCACCTTATGTGTATCATGATCTTCCTGAACAGTTGGGTGTATTTTCCTTGGGGATAAACAACCGAAGCTTTTGGTTAACCAAACTATAACCAACAGTACCGTAACCCCTCGGGGATCGGTATCCAGTTCATCGCATTGTGCGCCCTTTGGACGCAGTCAAACATCCAAGGTGTCCAATCAAATCAGTGACCACTGTCAAAATCATGAAGGTGCACGTATGGTTCGTACATCTCTTCCTATTTTGTTTTAAATCCAGATGTTTCAGCCAACTCTCATTCAAAACCCCCGTGGTTCATCCACCCCCTTAATAGTTTTCCCACTTTGGTGGGGTAATACTTTCGCTACATAAAGACAGTGAGTGGGGCTTCGACTGGTGCCATTTGAGACACTTCGTCGTATACGAACATTTCGCCAGGTCAGCCACAACCTAAGGCGCCAACCCGCGACCGAACTAGGACTTTCTATGATAGGTTTCAGATACAGACGTAATGCATGTCGAACCAAGTTTCTGTCTCTTGTCATTAGTGAATTAGCTCGATCTCCTCAATCAAAGCGAAAGCTCAACCTGTTGCTTTCAGGGTGCAAAAAAATGCTGGAGGACTTCAGATTTCGACCTCGAGGTATAGGTTCATGATCGACAGTTTTTGATTTTACACTGTTATTTTCTGCGACCCGAAGAGTTTTATTTTTTTGAAGAGAGCCGTCATTTCAGTGATGGTTTCTTTGAAGAGGTGATGCGATTCTTCTATTTTTGGATGGTTGTCGTTCAGTAGTTCAAGTAGCTGGGCTGAATCGCGGCTATGCGAAATATCCTAGACATTAACCTTATCACCGTAATTCGACTTTTGATGACAGGCAGCTTTTCGGTACTCGACGCGATGTCATACCTATCTCATTGACGCCCCACGTTTTTCAATACCACGAATCTCATTGATTAGGTTACCTTTTTTCAATATATTCTCTATGGATTTCATTCTTTTTATTGTGCAGAATAGTGTTTAGTATTTAATTACTACTAGCGCTTTTCGTTTTGAAGCTGGTAGGGAATTGACTGGATTCGTTTTTTGAAGTATTCACGAAGAAGAACTTACTGTCCCATAGGACTGGTGATCTGGCCTGACTGTATGTATATATTATAGATTGTGATTTATTCTCTTTCCCGCCTACGTCATTTACCATTATCTGCTGTTTTCCGTTCAGGAATTGTATCTCGGTGACAATCGTATTGCCAAAATCGAGCTGGAGAAATTGAGTGGCTGCCCACTAATCACGCTCGAATTGGCACGTAACAAAATCATAACCTTGCCCGACGGTATGGCCGCTGCATTCCCAGATCTCGTTCGATTGGATATCTCGGCCAATGAACTGAGCGTGTATGTCCACCGTGTGTTAGGGTGTTATACTTTTATCATGGGCTGATCGCTACCCCAGTTACTCACAAGAATTATTTGGCTGCTAAAACTAATTTTCATAATCGTAATACTCATTGTGATTGTTATGCCAACAGTACTACTTTCTCTCATATAAGGGCAAATCAACTTCATGCAGAAATGCTTGGAGTAACTCAGAACCACAGGGTTATAACCCCACGAGATGTATTTCGTTGTATCATAATAATGATGACTGATTTGTCTTGACTCTAGACTTACAATGACTGTCCTCCAAAAACGATCGATTGACTGGATCCATGTTAACCGTGTTTATTGACATCAATTTCTGACTAATCACCTGAGTTGTGCTCTTCGTGTTTTGATTGTACACTCCAGGACAAAGCAGTTTTCAAGGGGTTTATTGGTTTCTTGAAACTAATGGCGCAAACTGGTATCTGCTTTATCAATCGTTTTTGTTTATTCGAGAGTTTGCACGTAACAACTTTTACAGTCAATTTTGACCCGTAAGGTAGTTGCTGGATGATGGCGATTGCTTTGTGTTTGGCACGTGAGATCGGGCCGGATTCATGCACGTGACGACACTTTCTACGGACATTTGTTGGTTTCCTTTGAAGAAAATTCACTTGTTCCGCAAAGTGTGGTACATTCTCGGGCGTCGGCGCTGATCTTCCACAACCGCTACTTGTCTGTTTCTAATAGTTCTCGTAATTATACGATGAATTTGTAGTCTAAACGAAGAGTGAGATACAAAGCCAGCAAGCACTGGGCACCTGCTTCGACCTGATTATGTCTGATCAACAGTGCAGTCGAACCCGAAACGTAAGCCTACTACCCACTCGACCACCGGGAAGCTGTTCAGACCGTTTTTCATACAACAGTTCTCCAACTATTCCGAAAAAATGTTTGAATCCACCATCAATTATCGGTTCCATTGGTCGTGTAAATCTCAACAGCTGAACAGTTCACCTGACTGAGTCAATAAACTACCCATTCACTGAAAGTTGAACTTGATTTCCTTATCGTTGAAGTTTTCCTCCAGTAGCTTTTGGCGAGTTCCTCGAATAAGATTTTTCCGATAGTTCGGTTGGTCAAATAGCTCAGAAAAAACAGTAGGAACATTACATCCTTCTCTGCGTTTCGACTATATTGAAGCGAATAAATGAAAGGCCACATCCTCATGACCGATTCTTCATAAAGAACCGTGTTGAAGTTTGTCCGCAAAGCGTTTTGCGCATCACTCGTAAAATGCGCTCCGAATGACGGTCAAGTTTCCTTCATCCATGTACATGTTTTTTCGCCAGTCGAATGTTCCTGGCCTCATTTTTACTCTTTAGATCCATGCGTTTTCTTTCATGCTTCATCATTAATGCACAAGATTACATCCTCGAGCTTCGCACCGTTCTTTTATTTTATACTCTTACTGCCAGTCACTCAGACGCTTCCGGATTCTAATAATATCCCCTCCTTTTTTGATTCATATGTAGATTACCAACTGAACTGGGTTTCATGAACCGTTTGCAAGTTCTCCTAGTTGAGCGTAATCCTCTCCGTTCGATACGACAGAATGTTATATCGGTGAGTGATACAAGTGTTATCGCTGTTTGTATTTCACTAATTCGGACACGGTCCTCTACGTGCGGGTGTGTTCATCCACTTCACTGTCGTATTCGTTCCACGATTATCCCTAGCTAAACCCTTCAAGCGCTTCTAGTCCATCTTTTTGTGCTTTCAACTCTTGGACACTCGCGATCACCAAGTCACTTCTGATTCTCACCTCCTTGGGCAGTGTTGCTAGCTCTTCAAGTCGCAAACTTGCATGATAAATTCTATCGTCCAGAGA